GAGCTTCTTCCTGGCGGTGAGGGCCTGTCGCCGTGGGAGGCCGACGTCCTCAGCACGGCCGCCCACCCGCCGGCGGTAAGGGAGCCCGCCTTCAGCCCGACCAAGCCCTGCTCGGCAGCCGGCTCCGCCGCAACTTTCCGGAGCCTCGGAGTGCCCGAGGCATCCTGCCCGGTATCCAGGACCCCGAGCCCCCATGCCAGCACGCTCTTCCTCCTACCTCAGCGCGCGCCTGTGTCGGGGTGTGGCGTCCCTGGCGAGCCCCAAGGTGACATTCGGAACCTGCTCCGCTCGTGGTCCAGTCCTGCCGGAACAGGGGGAAGGCATGGCAGGACCCGTGCCGTGCCGGGGGCTTCGTTCCTGCCCGCTGGCCCGCGCGGACGTCTCCACTAAAAGTCGCAATTGCGGGGGCGCAGTGACTCACACCTGTTATCCCAGCACTTTGGGAGACTGAGGTAAGAGGATTGCCTGAGCCCGCGGGTTTGAGATCAGTCTGGGCAACATGGCGACACCTCATCTCTACAGTAAATAAAAAAATTAGCCGGTTGTGGTGGCGCAGACCTGTGGTTCCAGCTACTTGGAAGACTGAGGCAGAAGGATCGCCTGAGCCCAGCAGGCTGAGGCTGTGGTGAGCTGGGATTGTGCCACTGCCCTCCAACCTGGGCGACAGAGTGAGACCTATACTCAGAAAAGAAGGGCCAGATGCAGTGGCTCACGCCTGTCATCCCAGCACTTTGGGAGGTAGAGGTGAGAGGATTGCCTGAGCCCAGGGGTTCGAGACCAGCCTGGGCAACTTGGCAAGACCTCATCTCTACAATAAATCATAAAAAAATTAGCCGGGTATGGTGGTGTGCACCTGTGGTTCCAGCTACTTGGAAGGCTGAGGTAGAAGGATCACCTGAACCCAGCAGGTTGAGGCTGCGGTGGCCGTGAACGTGCCACTGCACTACCAGCCTGAGTGACAGAGTGAGACTCCCACTCAAAAAGAAAAAAATCACCGTTGTGCCTAACCCTGTCCATCCCTCCTGGGGCTTCATTCTTCCTCAGCCCCTATATGTGACTCACCTGGTTCTCCTAACCCAGTCCCAGCTGAAGTCTACCTGCTTCCCTCCCTTGGCGTCTTCACACTGCTGCTCCCCCCGCAGCTTCTCTTAGGGTTCTCCTGCCTCCCAGACCCGCAATGTGACCTTGGAGAGCCTGAAAACCCTGCCTGTCTGTGGCCCTCTCTGGCTGCCTTCTGCTCTTGTCTGGCCCTGCAGGTGTTTCCCTCAAATGCCCTCTTTCCAGGACTCCTCCTGGAGTGCTCAACAGTGGCCGAGGGCCCAGAAATCTTCCTGACTCCAGGTGGCCTGTGCAGGCACCATGGAGGGCAGGGTCTTCCCCAGCCCATCCCAGACCTCCAGACCCTCCTGCTTGCCATGCAGCATGACAACCACTTGTGCCTTGTGCCACGGCTAGCCCCAGCGTGGCAGTCTCACCATCCACCAGCCCAGGTATCCGTCATCCTGTGTCAGCCGCGGTGGCTGGAGCAGCACCTCATGGGCTGACGAACCTGAGATTGACCCTGGAGACTCACCATTCTCAGGCTGGACAGTCCTAGAGGCACTGCCCAGAGGCAGCAAGCAGAGCTGGACAGAGGGGCTTCTCTGCAGGCACCCTCACACTGGGTGTCACAGGAATTTCTGGATATAAGTTAAGGGAGGGGCTCCATGTCTGTGTCTGGCCCGCCCTGTGCCCTCCTGGGCTCTGAAGGGTGTCTCGGGGCCACAGCCTGTGCTCACTGCTCTCCTCCTCCAGGTTGCCTGCCTACTCACCCTCAGGCTCAGCGAGGCCCAGAGGGCAGCACAAGATTGCCCTCTTGTTGCCAGTCCTCACTCGTTCCTCAGAGGGTTTCCTGGGCATGGGCTCACTGGCCCCTGGGAAACAGCCCAAATCCCACCCGTGCCCTGCACCTCCCCAGACCAGAAGCCCGTGTCTCCAGCAGCTGTGCTGAGGATTAGTTCTCATGAAGGTCTTGGACCTGGGATCCTGGTCCTGTTTCATGGACCCAGAAAATTCTTAGAGGCCAGAGGATTTGCCCTCCCCCCCACCAGCACCCTGAAAACCCTCCAGGGCTGTTTGGAAGATGGCCCATTTTTGACACCCCACGGGCCCCAGCAGGAAATGGGCCCAAGAATGTGCCTAACCTTTGGCCTAGCCTCGCCCTGAGATGCCCGCCAATAAGTAGAACCCAGTCCAAGGCCTCTCAGCAGCACCAGCTTCCTGTGGATGGGGATATGGAGGCAGGGCTCTCGGTTCAGGCCTCCTGCCTCCAGGCTCTTCCCTAGGCTTCCACTGACCCCCAAGAAGAGAGAGGAAAGCGGGAGGTAGTGGCTCACACCATAATCCCAGCACTTGGGAGGGCGAGGTAGGAGGATTGCTTGAGGCTAAGAGGTTGAGACCAGCCTGGGCAGCAAAGTGAGACCCCGTCTTTACAAAACAATAATAAATACAATTTTTAAAAATGTATGTGAAGTGAGGAAGCTGCCTTTCCCTGGGGACTGGTGACTATTTGGATGGGGCAGTGGGGCAGAGGGGCCCACTCCTTCCTCACATGCACGTGTGTCCCTGAACCTGCTGCTGCATGTGCCATGTGGTGGGTGGTAGTGTTGGCACTCACGTGCACATAGGGTTCTGACTTGCCCTCTGGGAGCCCATTGCCCCTGGCTGGCCTTGGGATGACCTGGCCCCAGCCCTGTCCTCATCAACTGTTTTTTCCACTCACCTGGGAAGACCTGGCTGGAAGAAGGGCAGCTCCTTGGGCCAGGAGTGCTGCGGCCTGCAAGATACCAGCATGGGGGAGTACAGGGGAGCAAACAGGGGCCCTGAGGCATAGAAGGGTCCACTCACCAGGGTGGGGAGCAGAAGCCGCTCCTGCTGACCTGTGGGCCTGCATCATTCCTCTGCCCTGGTGGTGCCTGGCTGCCCTTGGACAAGCCTCCGCCTTTATCTGCCCATGGTTGGCCTGGCCTCGCCCAGTGGCTTCCTGTCCCCGCCCCACAAGATTTTCCATGATAAGGCCTTTATGAGGTGGGGGGTGAGGGGTGCAGGGCGACCAGGGAGGCAGGAAAGAGGGAGAGCAGGCCTGGAGGGATGGAGGAGGGCACCGGGGCGTGGTAGCTGCCTTGGGGTCCCAGCCCAATGGCCATGACTCAGAGAACATGGCCACAAGCATGCTTAGTGTCCCACATCTGTGTCACAAGCACCTCTTCCAGGTAGGCCAAGGGAGCCTGCCTCGGCCTTGGGTCCAGGAGCAGTGAAGCAGGGCGAGACATGGGTACCTAGTCCCAGTGAGGCCCAGGCCGGCTCCCTGCAGCTGGCCTCACACCCACAGCCGCCCAATACCAACTTCCACTGGGTCCCTTGATGGTATAAATGCTGTAGGTGGGAGGAAGCAGCCACAGAGGCTGCCTCCTGCAAGACCCTGAGCCCAGGTGGCCTGGCCCCTCCCCAGGTCCAGGCCAGGTAGCCACCCAGCTGTGTGCTCTAGGCACCAGGTAGCAGAGCTGGGAGCTGCAGGCCCTAGGCCTGCCGTCTCTTGGACCTGACACAAAGGCAAGACTTGATGGTTGGTCCTGTGGAGAAGGCGAGACCCTCAGCTCCCCCCTTCCATGGGAGATGCCACAAACCAAGTCCCAGTCAGGACACCAGTCCTGTGTCCTCACTAATCAGTCACATCTTCATTTTTCTAAAGCTTTATTTTAGAAAATGCATAGAATCAGCTGTGTGTGTTAACGCCTCTATACTCTGCAATCTTGGGCCAGGAGATAGGAGGAGATCAGGTGAGATAGGGTGGGTTCAGCTTGGGTAGCTAACCCATGGAGGCCACTTCCTCCTCGTCGCTGCCATCAGGGACTGCATCTGTCCCAAAGTAGCGGTCGCCAAAGTTCCCTGGAGAAAGACACAGGCCAGCGTAGGGGGCCTCCTGGGGCCATCCGCCCTGCCCCTGTGTGCTGCTGAGGGGCCTGGATCGCCTCACCGATGCCTGGGATGATCCGGAAAAGGTCATTGACTCGCTTGTCCACAGCCGTGGTGATGATTCTCACGCGTGGGAACGCGTAGGCCACCGAGTGCACGCCCATCTCCGCCATGAGCAGTGACAGCAGAAAGATCTTGTCCTCTGGCACATCATGGTCCTGCAGAATATGGGGACAAGTAATAAACCCCATCCCTCAGGGTCCTGCCTACAGCCCACCCAGATCCACTCACCAGGAGGCTGCCTGCCCAGGTCCACTAGCCAGGAGTACCCACTGCTGGCCACCAACAACTCACTCACCAGGAGCACCTGTGACTGGCCACCTGAGCACTCACCAGGAGGACGCGCACAGCCATCATGGCCGCAGCGCCTGTGGAGACCGTGCAGTCCATCAGGATCACGTGGTCATCACTGATGTCCTTGGGCAGCCGCAGGTAGTGGAGCTGCGGGCAGCCACGGGTCATACTGCAGGCTGGGCTACCCATAGCCTGACCCCTTCCTGCACACGCCCTCTGCCTCTCTCTCCTCTTCCCCATCTCCATGGCTCCCAGGATCCCCCAGGTTCCCCTCCACCCGGCACCTCAGGCTCCCCCGTGAGCTGATTGGTCTGGATAAGGATGGTGCCGATGCGGACGTCTTTGCAAACGGCTCGCAGCGCAGGCTCCATAGTCTCACCAGCGCGCAGGATGGATACGCCAGTATCTGGGGAGGGGAGGCCAGGCCAGCAAGCCGCCTGAAAACCCTCCCCTAGGGCCCTAGGCGGCCCCACCCCTTCCCGCCCAGGCGCACCTGCTTCCCAGCATAGCACTTGCCCGCGTAGTCCTGCCCCTGTGGTGTCTGCACCACACAGTCCTGCGCAGAGCGGGAAGGGACGCTGCAAAATCTGGGGGCCCGCCCCTCCCCAACCCCATTCTCCCTGCCGGGGCTTCGCCCCACCCTCTCCCAGGGCCAGCCCGACCCTCCTGAACCACGCCCCGGCCCCCTCCTGCCGCACAGCACCTGGAAGGGCAGGAAGGAGAGCGCGTGCTCGATGAGCAGCCGCATCAGCCTCTTGGAGTAGAAGATGAACTCATCTCTGTTGGTCTCCTTGTCCCTGTGGGGCTGGCGGGT